TTAGAACTATGTAAGACGTTCCCAGGGCTGATCTGTGCAACGTTTTGGGACATATGTAGCGACACCCCTTGTATTCCTCTGCATCCTGTATGGGAGGGATTCTTATTACTTATTCGATCGTAACTAGGGATGCACTGAGACCAAGATCAAACCGCGACTCTCGATCTCGGTCTCGGTCTCAGTCAGTCTCGGCTTTTTAGTACCGATAAGTGTCGGCCTCAGTACCAATTAGCCTCGATCTCCTTCTTGGCTATATGCCATCACAATAGCAATTTCAGTCTTGGTCTCGGTAACTTGATATCGATCTCAAAGAGACTATATGAAAGGAAGACTGGTGATTCCACAATTTTTCATTCCACAAAATTGGAACTGAGTAACATTTTCACATTTATGGTGATACTTTTCTGAGATTTTTTTGTTGGGTCAGAACTTTGAAATCTGACTTGAAAAATTGTTGTACCTGTGTTATCCATTCAGAGATCGCGAAAAACTTTTTATCTTTAATACAAAGGTTTTATCTTTAGTTCTATAGAGTTCGCCGCGCTAATCACGAATACCATATTTTTATTGAAATTTGATCCGATAATAAGAAACTTTTAAAGACTTGACTGGTTCCAATCCTTACAAGAAATAATCAGGTCTTGACTCAAGCCTTTTCTAAAATTATGCTTGAAGTACTTGGATGACTTCTGTCTAACCTAATTTTTTGTGCTCTGTCCAAATTTAAAAGAACCTAGAAGAGATATTAGTGTCAGTGGCTCGATGATATCCTCCTACCGGGCCCGATTGGTACAATTGGGACCAGAAAAGTCTTTAAAAGTTTCTTATTATCGGATCAAATTTCAATAAAAATATGATATTCGTAATTAGCGCGGCGAACTCTATAGAAATAAAGATAAAATCTTTGTATTAAAGATAAAAAGTTTTTCGCGATCTCTGAATGGATAACACAGGTACAAAAATTTTTCAAGTCAGATTTCAAAGTTCTGACCCAACAAAAAAATCTCAGAAAAGTACCACCATAAATGTGAAAATGTTACTCAGTTCCAATTTTGTGGAATGAAAACTTGTGGAATCACCAGTCTTCCTTTCATATGATCTCTTTGAGATCGAGGCTAATTGGTACCGAGACCAATATTCATCGATACTAAGATCGAAACTCACCGAGACTGACACTCATCGATATTGAAAGCCGAGACTGACTGTGAACAAGACCAAGACCGAAACTTCGACCGCGACGACTGAGACCGAGATGAGAAGTCTCGGTCTCGGTGCATCCCTAGGCGTAACTAGTGACAGTTTCTATAACTTTTTCTATCCTATCTAAGCATCGCCCTTTTAACATGTCACTCTGCCCAGCGGTGATATCTTCAAACTTCAAGTACCATCTCTAGGGGTCCCGAAAAAGTTATAATGACGACTATTAAGTAGATCCAAAATAGCTAAAGAAACCATCCCAGTGTAAGTCCACAAAATTTACGGAACCATTTCCAGGTAGAATGCAAAAAGTCACAGGAATCGCCCCTAGATAGGGCCTAAGGGATTGTAGGGACTACCCTTAATTACGACCCAAATAATACTAGTGACTGAATGCAGGCAATCTAGCGACTGTGGACCAATCAGTACATAGAACTGTTTCAGCAGTTCTTTCGTTCATTTGATCTAAACTACGATCTGAGAGCTGTTGTAGCCCCAGTGAGAAAGTGAAAATATATCGATAAATAGAAGTAATCCCATCAGCAATTTCTTTATTGCTTTATTTTTTCCTTAGTACTTTATTACTTTTTCCTGGCTTTTAGCTAGTATTATTAATTAGAAATAACAGTTATTATTTTTAATACTTATTACTATATTACTTATTTACTATTATTTCTTTATTACTTTTATTACTTTTCAGAATTATTACTTATTTCCAGCGATAAGTAATAACATCGTCAGTTATTACGTATTACCGGTAATAGTAATGTGCTACCCCTACTAGACATATATAATAAGATCCCAGCTTTGTTCCTTGGTTATTTTGCGTTGGCAAGATGAGCGAATTTAAGAAACAAATATTCGGAAACTATGATTTTCCAAACTTTAATGAGCCTATTCCAGCACTTATTGTCAATTGATCGAGTAACAAGTATTTAGATGCATCGATTGAATATATTAGATAAGAAACTGTATGGCATACTATAATGTATTTTTATATGAATATAAGCTAAAGTGGGTTCATTATTACTAATTTCTTGCATATTCTATTTAAAGAAGAAACACTCACGCTTATGAGTGTGAGCTGTACACCCCTAACCCAGCAGGATCCATGTTTTTTTACATTGTTTGCAGATTGCTCTAAAGCTAATCAGTTTTTGATGGATTATGTTAGACTCCGACGAATTTAGTAGATTGAGCTAAGTTCTAATGGATTTCCGTACATTCCAGCCAATCTATTCTGCAATCTAATACCCTTTATCACGATCCAACAGGATCGACAGGATCCAGCAGCATCCATCAGGATCCAATAGGATCTAATAGGATCTACAGGATTCACAGGATTCACAGGATCCATAAAATCTAATAGGATCTAATATGATCTAATAGGATCCAACAGGACCCACAGGATTCACAGGATCCACAGGATTCAGGATCCGCTTTTTCCTCCTTGGATGAGTGTGTGGATGTGGGCGTGGATTAAGTTCAGAGCAACACCTACACTCACACTCACCCACACCCACACCCACATCCACACACCCACCCCACACCCACACCCGCCCACACTCACACCCGCCCACACTCACACCCTCAAAATAAGGTGATGCTGTATTGAAGAAGCATCGTTGTTTCTCATGATTCTGTGGTGATCTTCAAATGATTTAGGAACAATTAGCTACAACCAACAAGCTATATCATTTTTCTCTTATCTTTATGTTTGCCATGTCCCTTCTCTTTTGTGCAACAAAAAAATAACAACACACAATCTACAGGGAAAGTCGCGAGAGAGACACCATTATCATGATATATAAACGAAGATAAAGCTTCTTTTTTTTTCTTTCTTCCATAGAAAAACGAAAGAAAGACGAATATGTAAAGAACTGTGATAAATAAATGCATTTCAGTGTTCTAATATTCTACACAAAATATGTCCAACGATATTTTTACACTATTTCAATTTTTTCTTCTGTGTTTTACAAGTTTACTGATTCACATGGGTGCCTCTAATCCCAATGTTAGTTCTACCAATGATTACGTTCCATATGAAGGCATTGGTTCATCATTTCTAGTGTTTATTGCACCGAAAATTGGCAAGCTTCTCATATGGACTTTAACATTATATCAAGCGTTATATTTATTCCTTCAAGTTTTTTCACCAACCTTCATTTCAACATTTTTTCCACAAATATCAACATCAATTGATCCCTTACCATTTAATCCAATGTCAGTGATCGGGTATATCCTTATAATTATGGGTGGTTTGGGAAGAATTTGGTGTTATAGAACATTAGGAGCATTCTTTACCTTTGAATTAACTATTCGAAGTACACATAAATTAATCAAGACTGGTCCATATGCTTATGTACGGCATCCATCGTACACGTTTATATACGTCTTAGTATGCGGAATATTACTAGTTCATCAACGATTGACAAATTTTTTTCCTAATCAAACATGGTTACAAGTTCTGTTTAGTCCAATTGGAACTTTAATGTTTTACTTGTTCTTAATGTTGATTATCACAAGGCGTGTCAAAATGGAGGAAGAGGAATTAGCAAAGAAATTTGGTAGTGAATGGACTCAATATGCATCGAAAACGAAAAGATTTATACCGAAAATTATCTAATACATATACAATCGCAGTTTTGGACAACAGTTCTTATCCCACTTGAGCTTTACTCATATTTCAAGCTTTGGCCTTCAAACTTTGAATGCTTGTAAACAATGAGGGTGTGGGTGTGTGAGGGGGTGGAGTGGGAGTGTGGGTGTAGGAGTGGGAGTGCGTATTACAAGAAGAGACATACTTATATCAACAACCACACTCACCCGCACCCACACCCACACTCTCGCACCCACCCACCCACGCGCTCACACCCGCCCACACCCACATTCCACACACCACACCCACATCCACCCAAGCACTCACACCCACACCCACCAGCTAAACATAATACAAATATATATGATAATAGAAGAAATTATTCAATTAATAAAACAAATAAAAAAACCATTTTCATCTAAATGTATTCCTTCACAGATGAATAAAAGACTTGCAACTGATGTATAATGTATAAGACCAAATAAATTATGTGCATACATATATGTATCACTTTGTACAAATAAAAAATAATAATTGACGATATGTTATTAGTGATGTTAAATGTTCAACATATAATTCATGATGATAGTGTTTATATTGATGACCATCATGCTTCTTTTGCGCATAATCAAGTATATTCAGAATATGTGTTCATTGTAATAATAATAATCGTATATAAAATGATGATGAGAATATAAAATATTCACTTAAACTAGTTAAATATGAAAATGTATCAAGACGATATATAGTTTCATCATGAAATAATCATTGACGAAAATCATTTACCATTGTTCGAAATATTTTAGCTAAAATCAAATTATACATCTTATAAAAACATAGAAATTTTTACAGTCAAATGTTTTTTCGCTAGCTCATTAGTAATTAATGAAATGCAGGAAAGTTTTCTTCTCAAATGAATGGGTGATATGATACTATCGTATAGATTATGATGAGAGCTTAAGATCTTTTTACTTTGATAGAAACTAGTTTTTAACTGTTCAGTTAGTTTCTTTTTTCTAAAGTTTCAAATCGAAATTTTAAAATCAATCATTCTGGCGCTCGTTACAAAGATGACAAGTTCAACCAAAAATAATGTTCCTATTGCTGAACTATCATATCTATATGTATAAATACACTATTATTTTGATTCATTACCATTTTTCATAATATGCAGAGAAACTAATGTCATATTGATTTGACCACGTTATTGTCCGAAAATTCGTAATATTACGTCATGTAAAATTCGAAGAGGAGCTCTAAAAACAAAAGTAAGAATCGTAGTTTTTAAAATTATAAATAAAATCATTGCGAATACTTACTAAAAGTTTCATCTCGTAAACAACAGGAAAATTTCATAAATAAAATCAAACTAACATTTCTATTTGTTGATGCTCGAAAAGCAACAATAAATGGATCAATAGGTCGTAATTCAAATGATGATACAACATCAAATAGTATTACTTGTGTTGAATAAATATCCAAAAGTGATTGACCCTATTTGAAAAGAAAAAGTAACGTAAAATCGAAGATCAGTGGCGTAGCCACGGGAAGGGCCAATGGGCAATTGCCCAGCAATTTAAAATCAATAGCCCATGAGTTTTTTAAAATAATATCAATTGCCCATTGCCGAAAAATCTTGATACACATGCATGTTGGAAAACTCAAATGCCCTCATTTTAATACACCATCTGTTAGTGTGACCTAATCGGATGATTTAGAAAGATTAACTCACAAACTTTTTCATTGAGCTGACGCTCACAATGGTAACGATTCAACGATATTTTTGTTGTCAGCATACTCGTTCTTCCAGTTAAACTCGCCAATGCACCATATCGATAAATGCTTGTCCATCTTTCTGATGGCATAAAATCTTATCGAACAGAAATGATTGAAGTAATCTGAGCTAAAATCTTTGGCTATGTAACAGGGTGCGGGTGTGAGTGAGGTGTAGATCTGCGGGTGGGTGTTGGTGTGGGGTGTGGAAGTGTGTTTCTAATTATACCCGATTGTACACCCATATGCATCTCCATATCCACATCCACATCCATACTCTTAAGAGTGATGAATTTCTCTTCAATAAATATCGATTGGTTGTGGTGATCGGAGTGAGTTTTTAAAAAATTATAGCCCAATTGATTTTTAATTGCCCATTACGGCCTAGCCCTTCGAATAATTTAGCTGGGAAACGGCCCATTACTCAAAAATTCCTGGCTACACCACTGTCGAAGATTATTAAAAAAAAGAAAAATAACCTTAGATAAACCAGTAGAGTAACATGTGATCGTAAATGAACAAGAAGTACATCGAAAATTAGTCGTGAAAAACATTTTCCATTTATCACCTTCATGTCGAACACTATCAACAATTATTGTTAGAAATTGCAAAGTCTATAAAAATATAAATTCTATTATTGCTTAGTTTAGTACGTAGAGATGATATGAAAAGATGCTTTTATTTACAATAATTAAGACGTCTAATTTTCTTGTAAACTTTTTATTATCGTATCTTTTATCGAATATATAACTGAATATTGTTATTTCCAAATATTGTCGAACTCTTGGCATCGACAATATAGTTATTTTCAGATAATTGATTCGTTGGAGTGTAGGTGTGGATTCAATTGAGGAGAAAAATTACACCTATACATACTTTCGAGTTTCTATGATATTTGAGAGCTTATAGAGGAACATCTTTTGTTCACTCTCATTTAATGTAACTTTTTAGATATTTTAATTATTCGTATGGTGACTATTTCTTATAATATCACACTACTTTATTATATCGAACAAGTTCAAGTAAGGTTTCAACAAGAAATAAATCATATACAACTGGTTCTAATGCTGATAAAGCTAAATAAAGAATTTCAACGATAACTTATTTTTCTCGAAAATATGTTTTTTGTTTTTGTTTCCTACCATGTGTTTCAAGTTCATGTCCACTTGCTATTAATTAACCACCATGTTTTATTAAATCTTTTACATGAATAACTTGTTTTGAACGAAATCTATTATGTGATAACATAACAAGGAATTTAGCAATACTATAAATAAAATGTGATAATATATCATAATCTGGCATAGTTTCTTCAATCATTTTCAGTGGATAGATTATATGAGTAAGAAAATGCTGTTTAAAAAATAAACGAAAAGATTAAAAATATAACGGAAATTCATCAGCATTTAATCAACTATAATTAACACGAATTAAAAGTAATTGAACAAGTAAATCGAGTTCAGTAAAAACTAAAATAGAAAACAGAAAAAAAACAAAATAGATCAAATTGGTTTTTTTTTGTTTATTTTACTCTCGTATTGCACTATATTCTATGGATTCATCACTATTTATATTTGATATATAACGTGAACCAAATCAAATAAATAATCAATTGTTGAATAGTTATGGTATGAATATTATTTAAAGAATTATTTATTGGTACTTGTGAGGTAACAATTGAATATTTTGTTTCAGCAGATGATGATGAAACGATTGTTAATTAGTATAGGTTTAATGAAAACTAAATTAAAAGAATATTTTCAAATGAATGTTGTGTTAACAGAAAAAATAATTTTCAAATCTTGAATTTTAAGAGAGAACCAAATGAAAAGATGTGACACTTTCACAATAAATTATTCTCTCATTAAAACCGTCAATATTTGCAAAATCAGTTTTTGTGTTACTATGATATTCTTATACTGAAATTTTCTTTTTCTGGATTAGACCATTCCTGAAATCTTGATTATAAGATTTCCATCCAAAATGCTGTCCACAGACAAGTTTTTGATAAGAGACTATCACTGAGTATTTCTTTTCTTGACCTGCTCTAAGGATAGGGTGCGGGGCATCAACAGATTAGAATAATACTTATAAATTGAATATGTCTCTTGCAAGATTTTAACCTTCAATAAAATAATGATATTCTCAGATGCCTTTAGTCACTAAACTCCGTGCCAGAAAAAAGAAGAAAGTAATTTTAATTGCAAAACAATATTTGCTTTTTTACTAGGGTCACATTTTTTTCACTTTATTTTATTTAATAAATATAAGTACGATTTTTATATTTATAAAAAAAACATCAGTAAATTCTTTATATTTTTTAAATAAAGATTAAAAAATGTTTTATTTTTTCAAAAATAAACACCATAGATGTATATGAACTATGCAAAAAGTTTTTTTTGCATATATATTCTTCTTTTTATGCACTCACTTGATTGTCTAATGATATGACATGTCGAAGTGATATTCATGGCAAGAAAGAATATTGCTTCACATATCCAGTTGTTATACTATGTATTTGTCTATCTGTCTATAACAGAACAAATTTTTCTTCATTTTTTTGATTTTCAAAAATAAACAATTTATCTATGTTCATTTTATAAATATAAAGATTTATTTTTATTTATACTTACTCTTTCCTGTAATTCAAAAATAAACTTGTAACTGAAAAACAAAGTTTCGTTGTGCTGAATTTCATAAAGTCAGCAGAATTTTCGACATAAAATTTTAAAGAACTCATATTTCTTCTGTTTTGTTTTATGAAATTTTTTAAGTGCGTCGTGGTCTTCTAACATAAAATATGATCTTCTATTCTTGACTTGTGTTTGATAAAAATCGACCATCTTTTAATTTCATCGATTAAAATTAGGTCTTCTGAATGAAAGGCAACTTTTCTTTCTTGTAGTTTTTTTCTGTGCTCATCAAATTTTTAAGGAAGTAGTCAGTTCATATTCAGATTTCTTAAGACATGTAGCAGAAAAAAAAACTCGATTACATTTCTAATCAACTTCATTTTATAAACAAGGTTTAATTCATTCAAAATTATTTGTGAAATGACAATCAAAATGAATTGAAGATGAAATAATTAGATTAAAATTGACTAAAAACATTCGCATTTTAATCAATTGTTTAACCAGAAAAACTAAACTGGAATTAGCCTTTTCTTTAAAATTTTTGGCATAGGATAAACGTTTTTGCCCTGCCAGCCAGTTTCTGGTTCAGACCCAATACGACATCCTAAAGGTTTTAGCTCAACCGATTAGTAGAAGAAGATTAATAACTGAAATTTTCTAACTAATATGTACTATTTAAAAGAAGTTTTACCTCTTTTGTACATTGAACGTTGATTTAAAATAATTAAGTGTTTCTTCCAGATTTTTTAATAAATGTTGTGTAGAAATAAGACTTACTACTGATTTTATAGAAAATAATGTTGTTGAAAGTAATCGTTCAAAATTAACTTTTGTATCTTTATTTGTGTTTGATATTATTGATGAATCTTTATCATTCTCTAAAACAAAAAAACAAATGAATTCATTCAGACAAGACATGATCTAACACATTCTTCAAATCTAAAACTTTAGAACTTCTTTCTTCTACGAAAGCTGAAATATCAATTATAGAAAATGATCTTCTGCCCAACAAAAATGATGATTGTGAAGTTATTTGTTAAGATCTGATAAATATTCAAATAAAAAGAAAGAATTTAAAGAAACATAATAAATATCTTTTCTTTTCTTTACTTCAAAATATTAAATTATTATTATTATCGAGTAATAATAGTAAATTATTAAGATCATTTTATATAAATAGATGTATAAGTAAACAAAGTTCATCATATTGATTATGAAAACAAAAATGATCAAATTGTTGTTGATTCTAAAACATTTGAAAGAGCATAAATATCTTCTAAACCTCCAACTTATATAAAAGACAAAAATAACAAACAATTTATATTCGAGTGGATGTTTGAGCTAAACAATCAAATATTAATGTTGGTAAGCATGATATTATTTCACATTGCACTCCATCATTGAATATAATTACAGAAGTATTTGTTTGTTGTAATGAATAATGAATTTTATGCATCCATTGATATACTAAAAAAATGAATTGTGATCAACAAACCTTAAAATCAAAAAGTAGCTAGTAACTAACTTAATACAATAAAATCGACTGATGCATTCAACTTCAAAAATAAAACTACCTAGTTAACTAACACCTCTACATTTGACATACTTAGCAAAAGTTAAAGTAGCTGCTGGACGAACACTTGTATCATTATCAATAAGAAATAGAAAGATAATGTCGATACAATGATCAAGTCATGATCGATTCTAAAAATAAAAGTAAAACAAAAAAAAACAAGATATTGTTTTTATCTTCTATATATGATTAGTTTTAATTTACTGTTTTTTTTATCTGTTATTGTTGTTGTTCAAGATAAGTTAGTATTCGAGAAAATCAATATTACGCACAATTTGAGCTAGAACAACCTATTTTATATACATAAACAGTTGATTGTAATCATAAGTTTCATTTGTCTACTTTAGCAAGATTATAAGAACTTGTACTATGTTGAGTAGAATCTTCTAATAATTCAATTCCTATGATTGTAAATGTATAACATGTGTATTATTATCCTAAAGACATAATCGAAATGTAGAAAGTAATTCTGCTAATATACCTAATTGAATATATTTAAAAACAAAAGGAAAGAATATTTTTATCAAAAACAAGAGATGATTTAATATTCTAATCTAACCTTGAACTATCTTGTGAATCAATTGATACAAGTGAATATTCATTAATAAAAGAATTATTAAATGAGTTTAATAATGATAATAGTCTTAAAAGATGAATGGTTCTTTTTAATTAATGTAGCAAGGAAAGAAATTTGCATATGTATCACATAAATGTAGATCGTCTACCTCGATGTTCGATAGATTTTAATGCATTACAAGTCATATAGAGATAAGAATTTCATATCAATTAGAAAATTTTTATTTAATCAGAAATCTTCAAAGATTAAAGAAAAACTCATTCGAGAATACAATTGATTTCATATCATAATGAAAAACCGAACATCTCTTTCGTACTAGATGTGTACAGAATTCATAGTTTAACTTTGAACTTTGTTTTTGAGGTAATTATGGGATGGTATAATTTCAATCTCTGACATATAAAGACTCTAAAACTTTTGTATGTCTAACCTACTTAGTAAAGTGTTCTACTTGATATATTTTCGAGTCTGATAATATTCTAGTCTTCTGTTGGTTTCAAAAAGATTAAAATTTCATATTGTTTTGTTTCAACAATTCAATAGTAAAGTCTTCATATCTATCAGATAACTTTTACTAAAACACTTTGAGACCATAACCAATTGAAGCCACGTCAACTAAACTCTGTTACAAGTTCCTTCATCAGATTTATCCTATTCATCTGAATCCTCCTACTGTTTCAACATCGGAAATAATTTTGGATTATAAAATAAATGTATTTTACTGAACTGAAACTTTACAAAAAAAAATGTCTCAGACAAGCATTAAACATACTTACAGTAGGATAATCAAATTATTAACACATTGAGCAAATGTCTAATTGGAAAAAAAAACATAATTGACTAACAAGTTTAGCAACTGATGTTTGTTTTTCATTATTAATCATTGATTTTGAATATAATTCATCATTGATTTTATATACTAAAATATCGTGTTGTTTATTCATTTCAATAAATCAACGTTGATATGTTAAATAATCTATTATTTTAGAAAAAATAAAAACTTGTTGTTCTCTTTTCACAATATTTACCTGTGTTTAATGTGTGACTAATACAAGTTACTTCTATAGATCCAATTTGAATTGAAATTAATAATTGATCAAAATCAAATAAATTTAAATATAATTTCATGTGTTTCCAATGAATTTCAAATTACAATATGATCTTTTATGTTGTAAACAAATATAAAATATCGTATCAACATATTAAAAAATAAATATTTACATAGAAAATAAAATCATTCATTATTTATCAAATACTGATTGAAAGATGTTGTTCATTTGTACCAATATTTCTAGTTCTTGTTATTGATCGTTGACTTTTTCTTGATGATGATTGAAATTTTTTGATATTTAATTTAAGATAACCAATTATTAAAATTTTACTATGGTTTTGATTATAATGCTCAAATAATTGATCTGTTAAAATAAAAGACAAATTATAATTAATTGAAATAATTATTTGAAAGAAAACTTACCAATTACATTTATCGTTAGAAAACGTGCTATAATCATAGGATAACATATTCACTGAATAGGACATGAGAGGTTCCTGAAAATTATTTATTATTAATATTAGGAAAAAAAAAAGAAAAATTCATTCCCACTCGACTTCATACCTTAACTATAACGATTGTTAGTGAATCAACTATGACTAATTTATTTCATTTGTCATTGATATTTAATGATAAATAAAATTTTATTATTCTTACTGCAAATGATGAACAGTTTCTCAATCGGTATTTCATCAAATAGTATGAGACTACCTATTCTACATTATCTGAAAAATATCCTCTCCTGCTCTAAGATTTAACTAAAAATGGACTCAGAAGTTGTCGATTAACTAGAGCAATCGCATAACTTTTTTCTAATTACTTCTTTAGAAGAGGTTTCTTAGATAACAAGGATTTTCTTTTTTACTTACTTTGATTTTTTCATCATTAATTGATCAACCAAGAATATAAAAAATAAGTTCATAATATTCTGATAAAATGGTTGAATCTTTTTCGAATGTATTGCAATTGCTGATTCGTCAAATCGCCATAGAACATTTAATTGAAATTGAAATTGAAATAAAACAAACCTTTGAATGCTTTTTATTCAACATTAGGATTATCTTTTATAGTCCTATTGTATAATTCATACAAAATTATTAAAAAAAAAGAATTTCTTTTATAATACTTTTACAATAGTCGTAACTGATTTAAAATTATTTTCACTTTTATCTCTAGATCAAAAAAAACTTTCGATAACATGTTGTTGTTGAAAATAATTTTAAAACTTCAAGTGATTTACTTAGTTTATCCATTTTGTTTAATTTATATTGAATTCATTTATTTTAAAGCTAAATAAATAAGTTTAAACATTTTTTGATAATCATAATAAATGAATAAATAGTTGACGGAAAAAGTCTAACGTGAATTGAATATTCACCTTCATCAATGAATGAACGAGAAACTATTCTACAAATCTTTATATTAGATCCATAATTTTTACTGTAAATTATTATTTAATAAAAATCAACTAAAGCCATCGACACACTAGAAGACCCCCCCCCCCCCATAATAGAAGACCCTCCTTGAATAAATGACGCAAAAGACATATTAGAAGACCCCCTTCCCCCTCTGAAAAAATCGATATTTTGAAACAGTTTCTGGAGTTTATTGATTTGTTTAGTATTTAAGCCTAGAATGATATCGAAATTCAGTACGAACAATATCTTGCTTCCTCCCTCATAACCAAGTGTCAGGCTCGAATGAGTAAAATCCTGAGAAACAACTAATAGGAAACAACTGTCTATTAAAGATTGCGTTTCTTTGTAAAAATATACCATGGAGTCATTTTAGTACTCCTTTGAAGCTTACTTTGAATACATTATTCAGGCTCTATACACGAAAAACACGCTTCCATAGTCATAGGATCTAATGAACGCAGTGCCCGTTCGTGCATGTAACATGTGAAAGGATCTTTGTACAGTAGTAACAGATTAGGCAAAGTGCCACTTTGTATTAATTAAAAGGTCTTTTCATCTTTGACTTTTTCTAGAAAATCAGAAACGCTTTTACCACAAAACAGTCTTTCATAATTGAAGAAAACATAACTTCATGCACAGTCTACACAAAAAATTCTGGGACACTGAAGAATGGTTCTGCAAAATTTTATATTTCATTTGAAACAAACTTTATATATATTTTAAGTATAGTTACTGGGAACAGTTTTATATAATATTAAAACTAGAAGTTTTGCGTCTGTAGAGTAAAGTACGAAGGTTTAACCAGTAACTATGCTTAAAAAATATATATAAAGTTTATTTCAAATGAAAGATGAAATTTCGGAGAGCCATTCTTAAATGTCCCAGAATTTTTTGCGTAGAATGTATAAACGTCGAGATTTGATATGTGAGTACTTTTTTTGAGTTTCAGAATGCATTTCTTTTTTCAATAAGGTACAACGCCATTTTTTGAAACAGACGCAAAAGAAAAACGGTGTGTGTATTCAATTGCTGATTTTCTATAGATGGTTTCTTCATAAGACAATCGTATTCATTGAAGTTAACTTAAGATTAATAACTTTGCTAGTAACAGAATTCACTATGAATAGATTCCATCTATACTAATCATATCTCCACATAAGCAACTGAATAAAATAAGTTTGATTAAAAAAATTAATTTTCTTTTTTTACATTTATTTAGTTATTGAGAAGGTAAAATGTTGCCAGTGATAGGTGTTAGTCTAGAGAAAAAAAGAACGATATGGGATATCGTACCAAGATGCTAGGCGACATTGACTGTATTGTTCTAAGAACACTTCTTACCAATGATGGTCTCCCTTTTTTCACAGGATGATATCTGTTTCTTTCTTATTCTACACATGTGAAATAAGTGAAGTAAACTCATTTACCAACGATATATTGGACAAAAATCAAGTGAAGCTAAGGTTTGTAGGTGGGATTGCCAAAAAAGATGACTTTTTTAAGGGACATAATAGAAGACCCCCCTTTTAACTTATGAACGATAAGACAGAATAGAA